GTGAGGGACACTGCTGTGAGCTGTCAACAGCTGATATGCCAGCAGCTGGGGATGGGTTTTTACCCTGAAGAAGGGCTGTGGGCAGAGCATATGTTGAGCTCTGGAGCAAGAGATCCTGGGTTTGTATCCTAGCTTGACGTTCACCAGCTGTGTGACCTTAGGGCAAGATACTTAAACTTTTTGTGCCTCAGTTTCCTCATAGTAAAAATGGAGTTAATATTATTTTTTTATGTTTGTTGTATCAATTATTATACTTTTTTTTTTACTAGATTTGTCCTTGTTTTATGATTTTCATTACTGCTTTTATTTCTTTCAGGGCAGATTTCTCAAAGGTAATGACTAGATTAATCAATGTTTGTCTTGGTGACAGTTGGCTGTAGGAATGAAGGGAAGCAATCAGCTTTAAAACCTATTTAAATTTGAGAATCTTAGTACAATGATTGTACTAAGATGTGTGTGTAAGGGAGGGAGTTCTGTGCAGGGGAGAGTGTACTGACTGCTCTGTCTGATAATACTACCTCTGTTGGGAGAAGAGCACAGTTTTGTGCTGGAGCCGGCTCACCAGAGCTGATTGTTAAATTTTCAGAAATTTTGTGAGCCAGTTATTAACCACCATTATTTAGATTACATTGCATAAAATTATAAGCAAATAGATTATATTTTTAAAAGATAATAAATACTGAAAAGTCATCACTTCCTAATTATTTTACCACATTTTACTATTATCTGTACTCTTGAGTTCTGTCTATTGCATCTGTGTGGTAGAAGTGGTATACAATGGTGTGCTACTATTCATCTCTTCCCAGCTCTGCACTCAGTGATATCACACTGGGAATATAAAATCAGCCATAGTGGGAAAATTTACACCATGAAACTGGCAAACACTACGAATCAAGGCTTGATTTATTGTTTTGTTGATTGTCGAGACTTAAGAAAGTGACAGAGAATATGTTAATAAGGCAGTTTATATTTAAGTGTGTCATGTCTGCAGCCATTACGTTGTAAAGAGCACAAATGATTGAGGAAATATTCTTCCAGTATTTGAAAGCTATTATCCAATTCAGCAAAGGAGCTCAGGTCACTGACAAATAAGAGAAGTTCTGTCCTCATTGTTTCATTTTCATCTCACTTGTTAATGTAAACAAAAGTATCAACCAACATTTGCGTCAGAACTACACTCATTCATTAATTGCAACCATAGGTTGGCTACAAACATAAGAGTTGGGCAAAAATCTTTGAAACATTCTGTGAGGATCAATTGGCTATTTGAAATTTACAATAAAGAGTATTGTGTTTTATTATTATTTGTAAAGTTTGTGCTATACAACATTTATATACCCAAAATTTGTAATAAACAAAGACGTGTATGCAAACTTTTTTTTGTCCTAGAGAGCTAGTTGTTCAATATTTAACAGCACATCACTGGCAGAGATAACGCATGGTATGGTGTCAGAGTAAAACATTGTATGTTTTTCTTTTTTTGTGAGGAGATCAGCCCTGTGCTAACATCTGCCAATCCACCTCTTTTTTTGCTGAGGAAGACTGGCCCTGGGCTGACATCTGTGCCCATCTTCCTCCACTTTATATGGGACGCCGCCACAGCATGGCTTGCCAAGCGGTGCGTCGGTGAGCCCGGGGTTCCAAACCGGTGAACCCCGGGCCGCCGCAGTGGAGCATGTGCACTTAACTGCTTGCGCCACCGGGCCGGCCCTGTTTTTCTTTTTAAACTCTCTCTGAGAGTTCTGCTGGGCTTGAGACATACGCATGTGTGTCTGATTCAATGGTTACCTACTGGATGGCCAGGAAGGATCTTTACTCTGCTTTATTCTTTATTTCACACGAACTTGGAAAGACCAAGTCTACTCTGGACTCTTCTGCAGAACCTCCCTCCACTTCCCACCCCACTGTAGTATTAGCGAACCTAAATGACCCCCATTTGGGAAAACGTATCATTAGCGATTACTGTACTGGCAGAGTGAGGGGTACTGGAGACTTTCTCTGTGGAGGACTGAAGATGAAGCTACTCAAAGGGACCTGAGCACCGGGAGTGAGGTCAGAAACTGGGGTGTGTCCATCAGGCGACTCCCTCTGAGGACTGAACTCAGAGTGGTAACAGAGAAGGTGACACTTCTTCTGACGTCACATCCTATTTAGAAGGACCCGGTCAGGAGTTTCAGGAGCCAAGTGAGAGAGAGAGGTGGGCATGAGGTGCTCACAACTCGCTGCCTCAGGACAGGTGGGGAGCCACCCTTTCCCCAACATACACTTCAGTGGGAGAAATGGGGAGCCTGATGCTAATTTGTAGAGAAGCTGAAAGGAGCCTGATGCTAGGTTATTGGACGTTTGTAGAGAAGCTGAAAGGAGAAATTCAGATGAAATAGAGAAAGGGAAGTTCAGCCCAAAAATGCAAATGTGGGTTGTGATATTAAGATCAGCCATGGCTGTGAGGCGGAAGGAGAACCAAGGCACAGCCATGTGAACATGGCCACTTCTATGCTGGAGGGCCACTCTCCCCCAGCCCCTGAGAGGACACTTCTTCCTAGGAAGGAAATGACTTTCAGGAGGGAGACACTCACTGGTGATAGAGAAGTGAGGGGGGATAAGCACAGTGTGGAAGGGGGGATGGGGTTCAACAAGTGAATAGGGTCAAAACAACTTAGGAGAGAAGACCAGGGACTTCAGGGCCTAATGAGGTTTAACAATTTGCTCTTTCTTGAACTTTCTTCCCTTGGCTTCAAGACCTGCCATCCTGACCTTCTGATAGCTCCTTCCCAGTCCACCCAGGAATGCAGAGCAGACCTCAAGTGGCAAGGCACATTGCTGATAATTAAACAAATCCTTGAAAGAAATCCAGAAATGGCCAGCTAAAACTTCTACTCTAAACAATGCTTTAGTTTCACTCTGATTTTATTTTTTGTAAAAGGATGATGTGAGGAAAAAGAGCAACTTTGCCCAGTTCTGGACCCCCAAATTCTGGGGGAGAGGAGGGTGTTGATTTTAGGTGTGGTTTGGGGGAATGCCCTGAGGGGCTGACAGCCATGACAGCCTTTCCACGTTCTCCCCACTTTCTCCTGCTGGGGCCCAGGGTGGTTTGGACTGGATGATGAGCGCTACCTGCAGGTAGAAAGCTGTAGGCAGGAGAAAATATCTGAATACTGTTTAGCATCAGGTATTATGGGTCAGGAACAAAAGCCCAGTCAACTCGCTTCGGCAGGTCTTTGGTTCTCTTCATCCTGAAGTTTAGTTTCACTGTGATTAAGAGACAATATGTTAAGGTCCAGCCCTGCAGGGAGAAGCAGCTCTAATTTTGGCAAGAGTTTAAGAGACCTCACCCCTTCCTTCAGAGAGAAAACAGAATCCGTCAGGGGAGAACTGCCGTACCTTCCCATCAGCAGTCACTCAGAATTGCCTACCTCTGTACTCCATCTCTGCCTTGTTCCTGGTGCAGAGGGAAAGGGGTCCCCTTCCTGAGGCTCGTCCTCTAGGATCCTCTCCCACCTTCCCCCACAACCTGTATCTTCAACCTTCCCTTCACTTCTTTCTACCAATATTTAAATGTGCCAAAGACTCTTCCATCTTAACAATATTTAAAGAGCCAGAAAACAAAAATAGCGACAACTCCCTGATCCTATAACCCCATAAGCTGCTGCCTAACTCCTTCCCCTTCAGCGTCACACTTCTAGAAAGAGCTGACTCTGCTTGCTGCTCCCTTCCTTCCCTTTCTTTCACTCCTCCATCCACTGCCATCTCCCCCCACCCCACCCCCACCAGGAGACAGTGCCTTGCAGGTCTCCAGCAGTCCAGGAGACACTTCTCTCACCTGATATACTGGTAGTATTGGAATGAGAATCCCTCCTTCTCACTTGAAACACTTTTCTTTACGGGCCACACATTCCCCGCCTCTCTCCCACATTTCTGGCCCTTCCTTGTGCTCCCATCTGGTGGATGACACTATTATCTAACCAGTTGCTCAGGCCAACCATGAACGGCCATGGGGTCATCCTTGAGCATCCTCTCTCACTGTCCACATCCTTCAGCAAGTCCTGCAGCTGAGCCTTCAATATCAATTTGGAATCCCACCCTTTCTCGGTCCTCCTCTGCCTGCACCCTGGTCTCACCCACCCTCATCTGTCACCTGGGACACTGCAGTAGCCACTTGGCTGGCCTCCCTGACTCAGCTCTACAGCACACAGCAGCCAGAGTGATCCCGTAGAAGTAAATCACATCATGGAACCACCCCCTTCTCAACCCTCCAAGGTCATCCCCCATCATCCTTAGCCTCAGGTTACATGTCACCCCATAAACCCTCCCTGAGCCCCCACACCTGGGCTAGGAGCCCCTCCCAGGAACACCTGTATATTCCTTCCAAGAGCAATTACTCCACTGTCATAACTCCTGTGTCCCCACAGCTTCCTGAGCTCAGTGAGGGCAGGAACCCTGTCTGCTGAATCCATCCTGAGGGCATGGCGCCTCGTAAATATTCCATAAAACACTGTGAATGCACTGTTACCCCTCATTTCTAGACATATAAATATTAACAGATCAGGGAACAGATGCAAATTAAGGAAAACAAGGTAAAATGCTGACAACTAAATGACTGCTGAAAGTCCCCAAATGGGCCGCAAACATTTCTAAAGAGTCACAGTTTGTCCAGCCATTTTATTTTCTTGTAAAATGTCGGCCTGCGGCAAAAATGAAGCTGTCTTTGTGTCAGCACAGGGACTCGGGACCCAAAGGTGCTGATTTCAGCTGTGGCCTGGGTGAGCGGCACCCAGTGCCCTGAGCTTAGGGACGCGAATACAAAAGGGAAGGGCGGCCAGACGCCCGGGTGGCGATGGGCAGCTTTTGCTGTGGGCCACAGGTGAAGGTGAAGAATTGGGGGGTGACTAGTCAATCTTGGGGGAGCTGTTTACAGCCGAAGACGGAAACCCAGGGCGGGGAGGAGTTTTCTGGGAATCGAAAGCGAAAGGGGCACAGTCAGTTGGCGAGAGAGCGGCAGTCGGCGCCGAACGAGCGGAGCCGAGGATGGCTGCGCCGGGCCCCTTCCCGCTGCTGGTCGAAGGGTCCTGGGGTCCCGACCCCCCGAAGAACTTGGTCACCAAGTTGCAGATGTACTTCCAGAGCCCGAGGAGATCGGGAGGCGGGGAGTGTGAGGTCCGCCAGCAGCCGGGCAGCCCGCCCCGCTTCCTGGTGCTCTTCTCCCCGGAGGACGGTGAGGGGCGCAGGGGGTGGGGTCCGAGGGGACAAGGGGCTCTGCTTGCAGGGGATGCTTGGGGCTGGGGCTCGCAGCGGGAGAATCCGTGCGGCTCCAGCAGCAGCGGTGGGGGAGGGCGTGGGGGCCCGCAGAATGGACGAAGAGGGCGCGGGGGGCGCTGCGGTTCCCCCTGGGCGGGCTTCTAGGCGCTCCCGGTGCTGCCTGGAGGTGGTGGCAGAACCGCGTAAGTGTTAAATAAACATTTAGCATGTTAGAACAGAAAGGAGCTGCCTGGGAGCGGGTTCACCCACCCCATTTGTACAAGGCTGGGTAGTGTGTTACTGGCAGAGTTGCAATTCCTTTGCGATTTTTGTCTTCTTCTCGAACTCCAAAGGTTTATGGGAACACAATTTCAAGGGAAGAGAAGGTTTCCAGGGGGAGTTCCATCTAGACTGACTCCAGAGGGTGAATTCAGTTTCTAATAGGCAAGCTATTGCGGAGGGCTCTTCAGATGGGAGCTCGCTGCGTGAACAAGCGGAGTAAGTTAAGATATTTTCTCAACATCACTCATCTAGTTCGTGGCAGAATTTGAGTTTGAATCCGGGTCTTTGGACTCTTATGTCCACTGTTCACTTTTTTTCAGTACAGCCCAGCTGCCTGATATATATATTTGTTTTTTTGTAAAATCTCTTCCATTCCTTCTTTTCTACTCCTTTTACTGTTGGATGTGAGGCTCTTATCATCACAGGTTAAAGAATTGATTGAAACAGCTTTTTAGCTAGGCTCGTGGCCATTCTGCTAGTGGTCTCCTGAGTTACCTTCCTAAAACACGCACTTCATCATGCCATTCCCCAGCACCCATCCTCACTGGCTCACAATAGGGATGCTTTCATTATTTCCCTTCAGTGTAGAATAAATATTGCCACCTTTCTGGGTGCCTACTGAGCATCAGGTACTGTACTAAGTTCTTTATGATGTTTCTTCAACTTACTCCACACTTAGTAGCACCCATACAAGAGAGTATTCGTTACTTACTTATTAGTAGATAAGGCTTTGTAAGTAAGGCTTATTAAGGAGCATGCTCAAGGTTAAAAAAGTAAATTTGAGGATGGAATTCAAATCCATGTCTGCTTGCTCAACTTTTCCTCTTTTCACTACTAAGGCCTCTCTTTGGAAACTGACCAAGCCATTGATTGATGATGATGAAGCCTATGGAAATCATGGAATAATTTTGTGAATAAAGATTGCTTGACTGTGAAATTTTTTTTTTTTTTTTGCTTTACTTTTAGTTCGGCCAAAAGTTCTGGAGAGAGAGAACCACGAGTTAGGCTGGCCAGGAAAAGGAACATTCAAGTTAACTGTCCAGTTGCCCACAGCCCCAGATGATGTCTTTGAGGGGAAAGTTCCAAGAGAGGTAAGTAAAGGAATGAAAGGGAAGCGGGGTGTCCCCCACGGTGTGTGGGGGTGGGAATCACAAAAGGAAAATAGAGTGGAACAAGAAGAATAAATCAAACAAGAGTGAGATAGCAACTTACAGACGTGGTGGGAGTGACAGTGCGGATAGGGTAGGTGTGGAATAATGAAGGAGGGAGCGCTTTTTGTTTGATTTTAGACCCTTCTGGAAAAGTCACGAGTTAGGGGTTATAATCGGGGTGGTTGATGTAAAATTTGGAGTCTGTTTCTCCCAGGCACTTTTAAGCTGGAACGTGCTATATTTGTTTTGTTTTCACATGGTTTTGAGGGGACGGCCATCCATACTGCATGCACCAAGTATTTCCTCAGTTGTCAGATGGGAGAGTAAGAGTCTCTACCCCGGGGGATTGTTGTGAGGATTAAATGAGACGACCTCGGTACAGTATAAGGCACAGTGCTTGTTAATAGTAAACACTCAATACATGGTAGATGGGGAAAAGATTTAGGTCTTAGCCCATACCCCAAACACTCGGTGTTGATGAGGGTTTCTATTATTTGTGACTCGTTTTTACCAGTGGTTTTTGTACTGGGTGGATCTGCCACTAGAGATGAGGTGTCTTCAACAGCATCATTGCCAGAGCTTTTCATGATCATTTCTATTGACCCTACAGCTCCAGGCTGCTCCCAGGGACATTTTCTTAATGTAAAGAAATTATTGTAATTTATTAATGCTACTTTATTGTTTGGATTTCAGGAATCCAAGACCAAAGAACATGTCAAAGAACCAGGTAAGGTCTCAGTTGAGATGACTGGCCTTCACTGGGCAGTTTTGCTTTTATTAAAGATGGCAAGTGCAGAGGTCATGCTCTTCTTGACTTCACTAGGCAGGGTTTGCTCCGCTTGGAGATGCCTTGGGCTGCGTCATCTACGTACTCTCAGCCAGCTGTGCAGAGGGCAGACACTGGGGCAGCCCTTTGAACTCTAAGGGCTCAGGTCAGCAGGGTGGGGACAGTTCTCCGTGGGGACTGGGAAACACCTTGCAACTGAAGGGAGGACAAAGAGGTGCCTGGGAGGTGGTGAGAAACTGACCTTTAGAGCCCACCTGTGCCCAACCAGCCGTGGAGAAGCAAGGACATGACGTGTTGGTGGGTGCCCGGTGTGGCTAAGTCAGTTTCTGGGCACTGGGTATGGAGGGTGCTGTCCTCTGGACCCACGACAGGAAGGTGTGAGTCCTCTGTGGACACAAGCTTCTGTGCGCTGGTGCAGGAGGTGGGTACAGCCCGTCAGACCAGCAGCAGCTCCCCTCGTCCCCTCTGCTGTAGGAAGCAGCCTGTAGCCCAGAAGCTGTTGTGGACTCTGCTGCTTAACCAGTGCCTGGGCGTTGGCCTGTGGTACCACCTGACATTTAAAGAAGTGACTGGTTTTCCTGGCTAAGCATGCTGTTAGAAAGGGGAGGAAATGATGAAGTATGCTGAATGGCTGAGCAAGAGAGAGAAAGTGATACGTATATCCACATCTCGGGGAAAAGGAATTCCAAACAGTGTGTAAATATTGTCCTCTAAAATTGAAATTGTCTTGAGAACATATTTAGATTTTTTACAACTTTCTCTTTTTGAAAGTGGCAGTAGGATGAGAGCTGCCTTTACTTGGCAAAAAAAAAGGATGTATAGGTTGTTTTACCCAACATGGACATGCTATTGAACTATAGAATCTAGTATGCATGGTTTTCTTAAGATCCTCATGATTCTTATGAGAGAGGGATTTTTCGTCTCTTTAGAGTAATTCCTGCTTTCCATTCTTCAGCTATGGGACTGGCTCACTCAACTCCCAGCGTTCACTGTGACCCCCTAAATCCTTATCTGTTTCTTGGAAGGTGTCTTATGTGCTGTACCCTCAAGCTCAATTTTAGCCCAGAAAGTAGCCTAATATTTGTACATTTATATCTGTACCATTGCCCACATCTAGAATTTAATCAAGTTTGTGTTTCTTATAGTTTCATAGATTTTACCCTAACTCTGTCTTAACTGATTTGTTAGCACTATTTCAGATTTGCTTAAAACCCCATGTGTATTCCCAGCCCCATTCCACCAATGGACTTTTCATTTCTCCTGCAGATTTTAGACCCATTTACTAACCTGTTTTTACCTGCCCCAGTCTCTAATGATAGTAACCAGCCAGGAAGTTGGGTGGTCTTCAACAAGATACTTAAATTGGCCCCTATAAGAGATGGAAGAGGAGGTCCGTTGTTAAATGGTTGCTCCACACTGAATCCTGACAATGGCCCTAAAGATAGGACTCATGAAATTAACTGGAATAATGTAGACAGTTTTCAGAACTGAGCAAAATGAGAGTGGAAGGTAGTTCCCTAATAGGTCTGATATCTCAGGAATGTGGAGAGCAGAGGATGCTGCACCATGAATGTACTCGACGTGCCTGAAACCCAGAGCATAAAGTTCAAGATTGACAAGGAATTGACAGAGCAGGGAAAGGTCAGTCAAGGCACACACCAACTTCAGGGGATGTGAGCACTGAGCCTGTGTCCTGTTCCAGGCTAAGCTGAGTTGAGCTGGGCCTGAAAGGTGGAAACCAGCAATTGGAAGACCCTGGAGAAAAGAGAAGGGCAAGAGCAGAGAAATACTGGACTCTCGTGGTTGGCAAATTGTGGTTTTTCCATATCTGTATTTCCAGCCTGGGCTGTCTTCTCAATTCCAGACCTTGTGTCTGACCTTCCTATTGGAAAATATGTTAGAGCCACAATGCCTGAAGCCACCTGTGTCATCTTTCCCCCCAAACCTGTGCCCTCTTCTGGCTTCCTTATTTCTCTCGAAGTACACAACCAGTCTGCCCATCACCTACTAGAAATTTCAGTCATCTCTCTTCTTTAAGCTGTCACGTATGTTGGGCACAGAGACTTATCAATTTCTTTTTTAGGGTTTCCTCATCCATCCCTCCATTTGCTGCAGGCCCCCATTATTACCTCACAAATCCAGCATGGCAGGAGTGCCCTGCTTGGTCTCTGTATCTTATATCTTTCTCCTTAAGTCTGACCAGTCCTTTGTACTATTGCTGAATATCCTGCGATTATTTCACAGACGCCTTCCATGCCTCACCCTTACCACCCACTGCAAGATAAAGTCCAGACCACGTTCTGGATGAAGCCGACTTTTCCAGCCTAATTTCTTATGTCTCTGCATATAAGTGCTCCTTGTGCCTCATCAGTCAGATCGCCATTTCCTAAACAGTTTGGTGCAATCCCAGTACTCTGCCTGGACTTCTGCTGCTCGCAATACCCTCTACCCCACTCATCTCTACCTCAATTGTATATGCCCTCCAAGATCCACTCTGCTTCCTCCTCTTCTCTGAGGCCTTTCCAAGCCAGCCCAATCCCTTTCTCTGTCTTTCTTGGACTCCTGGTTTGATTGTTGATGCTCTTTATTTGACAGTTAACTAAGCCTCTCTTGTGATGAAGTTCTAATAGCCATGGGGTTATGAAGCTATGTTGCTGGAAAAGCTCTTACCATTCACTTAGTCCAATACTGTCATTTTATAATTAAGAGATGTGCCTGAGGTCACATGGCTAAAGAGTGGCAGAGTCAGGGGTTGAACTCATACAGTCTCACCCCCAGCCCAGTAGTCATTCTGGTTTATCATACCTAATTTATGTTATTATCACATCCCTAAGCTATTTTTTATTTGGCATGAGTGTGTGTGTGTGGTACCACATCCAGATCATAACAGGAGTATTTTTCAGGATGATCTAACTGCTGTAACAGACAACCCCCCCAAGTCACAGGTCAGTGTAGACGGCAGCTAGAGAGGTGTGGGGGAGTCTAGACTGCTCCACGCAGTCATCCGGGAATCCAGGCTCCTTCTGTCTTTTGACAACGTTATCTTTGACATGTGGCCTCCAAGGTCACTGCAAGGGAGAATGGAGATTCATATGCAGGAGATTGGTATTGCTCAGGCCTAAGGGTAGAATTCACCACTTGTACCCATATTCCATTAGCCACGTCATCTCTACTGTAGGAATTGAACTGCAGGAAGTCTGGGAAATGTTGCCCAGGAAAAAAACAAAATGGATTTGGTGAGCAGATAGCATTTTACTCTGCCATAATAAACATTCACAAACGTCAGTTCCCTTTCTCATTTTTCTTGGGTACCTCCGTTAGAAAATCTGTTCCTTATCTAAGGTTTTTTGTATGCACCCCTCTCCACACATCCAGTGCCTTGAACATAATAAGGCCCCAGTTGAATAGTTGCTCACAGAATGCGTAAAGATCATATCGTACACATGCTTCACTGGACAAGCACAGAGTGAGACTGACCTTAGGTGTGTATGTAACTCACTTGTGGTCAAGAATGGAGAGGAACAAGCTGGCTGGGGTGATTGCTGTTCAGTGAGTTTGCTGTATACGTGCAGCTCTCTAGGCCATCTCACCTTCTATGTGGAGTTCTTAGTCATTCACTGCAAACATTGTTTTTTCTCTTTAGTGATAGGAACTTCTTGCTTTTCAGAGCCATATTGGGACAACATCAGACAGTCATGCTTTCTCAAGTGGCCCAAGCAGTAAATCTCTAATTCAGCAAACACTTATTGAGCCTCAAGTATGTGCCATGTGCCAGCAATACAAGGACGAATAAATATGTCCCTTGCTTTTGAGAAGCTCAGTTCCATAACCATAATATGGTGCTGTGAGAGAAATATAAGTCAAGTGCTATGAGAGATAATGCAAGCTCCTCAGAGAGACAAGGCAGAAATGAGTGTAATAAAATTGAAGTTAATAATAATAAACAGTTAAATGTTACATTTTATTTTAATTAAATTAAGCAAAAAGCCTTCTAAGATCTGTTTTTATTTGAGTTAGCCAAGAGATTGGGAAAGAAAAGGGGCAATGTCTTATGCTAACTTACTTCACTAAGACCATGGTAGATAAATATAACATCTTGTACCTCTTTTGTCTCTGTAAAACCAGATGTGTCAGAAGAACTGGAAACAAAACTCTCTCTCAATAGAAGATCAGAGAAAATGGAAAATATCCCCAAAGAATGTGAAAATATTTCCTCTTTGGTTGCATTTGAAAATCTCAAGGCACATGTGACGGATATAATGTTAATCTTTGTAGTGGAGAACCTAAGTGGCCTGTCCAGTGATGAATTTCAACTGGAAGTAATACGAGATTTTGATGTTGCCATAGTTACCTTTCAAAAATATATAGGTAAGATCAAGGGATGCTTCATTTGCCAGTTTTCTTTGCACCACAGTCTGGCATTTGGGACATGCAGCTTATGGAACGTCTCTGAAAGTTTGGCTCTTTCTAGTCGTCAGTAAGAGGGAACTCCAAGTTAATAGAGATGCTTTTTTACTTTGAAAGAGAAGCAAATTTCTTTTGAAACCAAGTTCAGGTGTGTTTAGTAGATCAAACTTTATTGTATGATTTGTCTGTGTGTGTGTGTGTGTGTGTGTGTGTGTGTGTGTGTGTGTGAGAGAGAGAGAGAGAGAGAGAGAAAGGGAGAGAGTGATACACACGCAAATAGAAGTCTAAAGTCCAAGGCTGTTAAAGTGATTCCAGGCAGAGGAGTCAGTGTTTTCACCTGTGTTATCTCCTCGGAAGAAGGAAATATGATCCGTGTTACCAAACTGGACTTATCGCAAGGTAGTGATAATAATAGCAAACCCCTTGTTACCTGTATTAATTTATTTGTTCCTTTCAACAACCTTTTGAGATTATTATTATCACTCCTGACTTTACAGTCGAGGAGACAGGGGCAGATATGCTAATAAAAGAACTAGATGTGAACCCAGACAGCCCACCTCTACAGCCTGTTCTCTTACCCCCTTTACCTTAGACTTCCTCAGTACCTTCATGGTCATCACGTATGCAGGGATGCGTCAGTGCATGTGACGCAGAAAGTGAGTGCTCTTTAGGGTCTGTGTCAGGAGTCTGTGGACACGCTCTGAGATTGGAAGAGCCATCTCCAGAAGGACAAGGATATTTTCCCATCACATGCCCTTACTATTCCTTGGCCATGGCAGTGGAATGGCTAATTAAGAGCACAGGTCATAAAGTCAAAATTCTAATTCCGCCATTTAGCTAGTTATCTGAGGTTGGCCGAGTTACTATCCTCTGTGTGCTTCACTTTCCTCATCTATAAAATGGGGATATTAATACCTCCCTAAGACAGTTTCTGAAGGATTAAATGAGATAATGTTTAAGAAACTCTTAACACAGTACCTGAGACATGGTAAGGACTCGATAAAGGGAGCTCTTCTTATTTCAAATTTATGATTATTTCTTATAAAGGTAAAACTAAATGGACTTGCTTTTGTTCACTGATGAAAAATCTTAAACACCTAGTGCCAGATGCTTGTCTAAGTGCTGATGGTACAGAGATAAATAATTCTTGGTTCCTGCTCTTGAGGAGCTCATATGGGGCGGGGAGGAAACCCATATGTACATGAATAATGAAGATGCAAGAGGAGAAGCTGCCTCCCTCAGCCATGAACAGGAGGCTGTGGGGAGTGGGGGGAAAGGGGACGCTAACAAGGCGGCTTCGTTTTGCCCTGCCTACTCCCTTCTCTGGAGTTTACCCTCCAGCAGTACCAGTCTGTCAGGTCCCAGATACACTGTGTTGTTTCATGCCACTGCTGTTCCCTCTGCCTGGAATGTTTCCTCCCCTTATGTATCTGGTAAATTCCTCTTCATCCTTAGAAACCCTGGCCTCTTACTCTGGGAATCCTTGTCTGATTCCCAGTATTGGCCTTCCCTCCTCATTTGATCCCACAATAGGTAATTTGCTTACTTTTCTTCCCTCCTGGAAGATGAACTTGCAAGGGCTTGTTATATTCACCTCTCTATCCCCAGATCCTGGCACAGTGCCGGGTACATCATGGGCCCGCCACCAATATTTATTTATTTGAAAGAGATCGTTGGGCTGAGTCCTGAAGGAGGAGTAGGACCAGAATAGAAAATTGGAGAAGGGCATTTCGGGCACAGGAAACTGTATATATAATGGCGAAAGAGAACGGGGTTTTGAAAGTAGCGACTAGTTTTTGTGGCGACATGGAAAATAAAATGAATGGCAGGAAATAACCAGAGGTGATGCTTGGAAATTGGAGTCAAATAGCCAAGGGCACCAGAAGTCCAGCTACGGAGTGTGAGCTCACGCCTGCAGGTAATGGGGAGCCATGAAGGGCTAGAGAAAGGAGTGAGATGAGGAGATTTGTATTGCGGAGAGAGCACTCGGGCGACACTGTCAGGGAGGGGTGGGGACAGCCGCGGTTGGAGGCAGGGACACAGCTCAGTGGCAGTAATGCAGGTAAGACATTCATGTGCGTCATTCAGAGACCTGGAGTTTTAGGCTTGTAAATTCTCATGTAGGAATTAAAATTTTGAGGCTAAAAATTCAGTGCTTAGCTCTCTCCCTTATCTCAATTAATATTCAGACAGTTTCTTCTGAATAATACAAGGATATAAACATAATTTTCTGATTGATTGCTTTTGGTTTGTAGATGTCATGAAATTTGTTGATGACTGCGCCAACCACCATACAGTGAAAGAGCTCCAGCTTTCTCCAAGACTTCTGGAAGTGACAAAAAAAGTCAGGGTTGAAAACCTGCCACCTGGTGTTGATGACGATGATTTAAAAAGTTTATTTGAAAATCCTCGTAATGGAGGGGGAAGAGTTGTCAGCGTTGAGTGTTTTCCTGAAGAGAGTTCAGCTCTGATTGAATTTTTTGACAGAGGAGGTAATATCTGTTAGCCTGATTTTGTAGACCTTACCTGGCATAATCTAAACCATATTTTAGCAGATCTTAAGAGTTATCAGTTGAATTCTGATGTATTTTGGTTTTTTGCTCCTATATTTAATTGGAAATCCAATTAGTAATTCTGTTCATCTGGGATATGATGCTTGATGAGGCCAGACAGCGATTCAAACTTTAGAGAAGCAACGTCAGGTTTTTGAAAGATATAAGGAGATTCTCGCATGAGTCTCTACCTACGATGGACTGAAAAATATGTAATTCTTAGAATCTTTGAAATACTGTATTAAAAA